CTCACACTTTCCTTGACTTTCTTCTTGTTGCTAACATACCTGAAGAAACCCTTCTTGTTACTCTTAACATCTCTTGCTAGCTGCAACTCCAAGTGTGATTTGGCCTTCCTGATTTCACTCCTGCATGCCTGAGCAATATTTTTTGTCTTCTGCTGACAGTTTTATTTCTGGTTTTGAACTTTATGGTGGGGGCACCTAGTGCAATGGCCTGATGCCCCTTTTATACACCTCCAAATACACATCAGAGTTACACACAAAAGCTATGCTAAAAATGCTAATGCTGCAAAGTCAAACACTCAAAAGTTCGGAAATGCCAGAAACAAGGTCGCCTGTGGACCATTAACAGAGCCCCCTGGTGCACACGCAGGATTGCACCGCCTTCAATGACAGATCACATGCTATTTTTTCCACCAGACTCCTGCCTCTTTCGGTGCCCAGGGGAGCACTGTGGGGGAGAGACACCCAGTGGGTTTCACAGATTTTTGCTGGCAGCAGAGGAAGGGTGAGACTCAGAGATCCCAGGCTCGGGGAGGTGGGCGGGGGGAGAAGGGGGACATGTTTTCTAGAGGTCACAGACCCTTCTCCCCCATCCCCTGACACCTGTCCTTGTCCCAGTCCTGCCTCTTCCCCACACCTGGCTCCTCATCCCAGTCCAAGTCTCCTCCCCTTGCCAGTTCCAGTCTCCACTCCTCCGCTCTCCCTCTTCCAGCCCTTTGTGCAAGCTCTAGCTCTCCAGTCACTTCCACACATGCTGGCTCCCCATCCCAGGCTGTCTCCTTGGCTTCCCCATCCCGCCTCAGTGCCCTGCCCAGCTCCGTGTCCCAGTCTCCTCCTCAAACGGCTGCCCAGCCCTGGGTGGAGCATGCTCAGTGCAGACAGACTCGGCAGGGCATTAGAACCAGGGATGGTCTAGACAGTATTTGGTCCTGCCATGCGGGCAGGGGACTGGACTCGATGACCTCTCGAGGTCCCTTCCAGTCCTATAATCTATGAATCTATGAAAACTCAGGCTGCATGTGCACAAACTGATTTTTCAGCAGCTTGTGAGGTGGCCAAATCGGGGTGGATTTTTAGAGGTATTGCAGAGGCACCTTCTGGACACAACGGCCAGGAACGTCACGTTTCCAGTGCCTTCTCCAAGCACGGGGGTCTGGAGCTTCTCATAAGAAAGGGGGTCAGAATATTTTAACATGGGCAAACCGATGTATTTTTCCCTGACCATTTTCTCAGAAACGACTGAACTGTTCGGGGTGAAATGTAAAGTCAAACTGAAGATCAGGCTGAGGACAACATGGAAAATTTCAGCTCAAATGGTTAAAGTTTGGCAAACTTATAAGCAACTGAATCGGGGTCTTATAATGGGAAGTGCCAGTGCTCCCTGGCCCATCTGTAAGTAACGCTGGGAGCTTCGGGGAGGAGGCGCAGCGCTGCGCCGGGACCAGAGGGCAGCAGGAGGGAGCGGGGATTCCAGCTGCTGTTCTTCGGGAAGAGTGGGGCAGAGAGCTTGGCCTTGGGCCTTTCCAGCACTGGCCGGGCGAAGGAAACCTCTAACAGCAGCAATGGAGCAAGGGCAGGGCATGGCAAGCACCCAAGTCTGCCCCCACTGGAGAACCGGAGCGAGGCTGCTCAGTGCCAAAGCCCCTGGAGGTGGATGGTCTCATGGCACTGGGGAAACTAGCCTGCTCCAGCCAGGAGCGCTCCGGGGGAGGGGGTATGGGATGGCATCCTCGCTCAGCCCCAGCTCGGACGATGTGGGACCCAAGCCACAGCCGCGAGTCTCCCCAGAGGTGATCTGGAGCAAATGGCTGTGACATGCACACCGCAGGGCCTGCTCCCTGCCCCTGGAGCTCAGGGAGTCTCACCCCGGATTCCCATGGGAGCATTTGAGAGGCGCCGGGGGAGGTGAGGTCATTGGGCCGTGCACCCTGGGGGCCACGCTGATACGTGCCGGAGGAGCTGTCATCTGAGGACAAGTTACAAGCATTAACTCCAGCCCAAACGCCATCGCTTCAGCCCAGAGGCAATCAAACAAAGCAGCACCCAGGGCAGGTGAAAAGCAAACAAGCCAAGGCCCTTGCACACAGTTTATCTCCACAAAGCGAGTCACACGGCCCCTTACCTCTTTGTTATTGCCCTCGGAAAAGTTGGGGACACACTCCACCAGTTTGGACATGGTGCTGCTTTCGTTCCTGCCAGGGGAGTGCCTTGGCCTGGCCGCACTGGGTTGTTCAGTGTATGTAACGCTGGGTGTTTGCTCTGACCTGTGCGGCTGCAGAAATAGAACTAGAAGAGCAGAGCCTTATACGGCCTAGCCAGTGACCTTTCCCAATCTCCAGGGTTTCTCATTAACTACCCAAAACTGCAGCCAATAGCAGGAGAGTTTCTTAATTAAACAAATAAGAGGAAACTTTTGGCAGGGAAGCCCATCTGGCCTATAGTTACTGGCCTGAGTCTACTGTCCATTACGCTGGTGTCACTCAGGAGTGACTCCCCTGCACTCACGGATCATTTGTACCTGGAACGTTAATGAGCAAGTCTTGCTCTGTTATAACCTGGGCTTCAGTCTCTGTTGTCAGGCTGTTGTCTGATTCAGTTTCATTAAGAGCAGCCAATACTTATTTACCCACGTAACAGTAGTTCTAAAAGACAAATAAAATACAAACATATGTTTCTGTTACAACAGAAAAAGACACAAATTCTACCCCAGTTCATAGGCTCTCTTCTCCCCCCCCTTTTTTTGTTTGTTTTTTGCTGATAAATCAACCATAGAAGACACTTTCTTCAGTAGCCCACAGTTTATTCTATGCTCATAATCCTAGACAGAGACAAGCAAATCCTAGACATAGACACACAAGGATTTAGTTATACATAGGAACAAAAAGAATCCTGACAACAGTATTGGTCCTTATTACATGGCAAAGGTAAAATTTTTATTTATGTATTTATTTATTTTGCATTATGGATGATTAAAGAAGACCAAAGTGTTTAGTAAATATTTCTGTTCTGTATTTGGGGGGAAAACAGATGATGTAATCTCATCCTATGATGACAACATTCTTTCCTTTCCACGAGCATTTCAGGGAAATGTCACACGGCGACTACTAAAGTTAGACATTTTTAACAGCAGGTCCAGAGAATGTGCATCCAAGAGTTCGAAAAGAGCTGACTGAGGAACTCACTGCTGTTGATTTTCAATAAGTTTTGGAACACTGAGGAAGTTCTAGAAGACTGGAAGAAAACCAATGTTGTGCCAATATGTAAAAAGGGTAAAAGAGTTGCCTTTATAATTGCTGATAACTGAACCCCCGGGGCCCCACTCCCGGCCCACCACTTCCCCCCAAGACCCTCCCCTTGCTCTGCCTCTTCTCCCCAAGGCCCTGCCCACCTCTTCCCTCAAGTCCCTGGCCCCTTCTCCATCTCTTCCCCCAAAAAGGTCCCACCCCCATCACTCGCTCCTCTACCCCCTCCCCCCATCACTCATTGGATCGTCTCAAGGAGCCTGCCTACCTAGTAGTCAGAGTCTGCAATCATGAGACAGGACTCACGAGTCAGTTGGGTCAGACTATCAATGGTCAGAGGCAGGGGTCTGGAGATCAGAACCACCAGTCAGATGCCAGGCATCAAGCCCGGTCAGGATGCCAGGAAAATGAGCTGGGGGTGGGGGGCAGCAGGAATGGGCGGCAGAGAGCACAAGGCACACAGTCCAGAACAGGGCAGAGCCCAATTGTCAGGCAACTTCCTGTTCCTGCTGCTCTGGGACTCGGCCAGTCGGACCTCAGGGGGCTGGAGCCTCCCAGGTATCCTGGGCCCAGCCTTGTTGGGGTTACGAGGACTCTGCCCCCCAGGAGAGTGGAAGGGGAGCCCTTGAGGTCAGGCAGGCCTCTGGGTAAATGGAGTGGGAGCGAGAACTCAGATCCTTTCGCTAGCCCATTTCACCAGGGCAGTGTATAAGCCAGGAAAGTTCCCCACAATAGCAGGACCGTTCCCCCGCTTACATAATTGGTGTCACAAACAGGATCCTATCCATAGGGTCCACCCCATTGGTTTACTGTTTGAGTTCTGGTAGCACTGTCCAGGCCTGGTCGAGAAACCTACCATGGCTGGAATTGAAGAACTACATGCCCAGTTTGCTGAACTTCAGCGCAGATTATCAGACCAAGCTGAGGCATTACAACAAGTTAGAACACGCAGCTCAGCCCCGCTCCGGCCGGGCGCTGGGTCGGGGCCGCACCACGCAGCTCAGTCCCGCTCCGGCCGGGGCGCTGGGTCGGGGGCCGCACCACGCAGCTCAGCCCCGCTCCGGCCGGGGCGCTGGGTCAGGGGCCACTCCATGTGGCTCCCAGAAGCCACGGCATGGCGCCACTCCGGCTCCCATGTGCTCCAATGGCCCCCTCCGGCGCTCCGTAGGAGCCGGAGAAGGGACATGCCACTGCTTCCGGAAGCCACTTGAGGTAAACGCTGCTCGGATCCTGCAACCGTGAGCCTCTCCCCACACCCCAACCCCTTGCCCCAGCCCTGATCCCCTTCCCACTCTCGAAACCTCTCGATCCCAGACCGGAGCACCCTCCTGCACCCCAAACCTCTCATCCCCAGCCTCACCTCAGAGCCTGCATACCCAGCCGGAACCTGCATCCCTTCCCGCACCCCTGCCCCAGCCCTGATCCACCTCCTGCCCTCTGAATCCCTTGGTCCCAGCCCAGAGCACCCTCTACACCCCAAACTCCTCATCCTCTGCCCCACCCCAGAGCCCGCACCCCCAACCAGAGCCCTCACCCCCTCCCGCACTCCAACCCCAATTCTGTGAGCATTCATGGCCCGCCATACAATTTCTATTCCTCGATGTGGCCCTCAGGCCAAAAAGTTTGCCCACTCTTGGACTAGATGGTCACTATGGTCCCTTCTGGCCATGGAATTGACAAATGAATCTATGAGTCTCAGCACCCTCGCTCCAGGCCCCAGCAACTCAGCGCTGGTGTTTCTCCCCAAAAGCTGAGGGCTCTTCTTGAGAAAACAGAGTTAATGCTGACTCCTCTAGAGAAGATAAAAAGCACATCTGTAAACGGCCCAGGCTTCCCCTCCTCCCCCACTTATCTATGGGGTAAGCCTTATTCAGACCAATGGGATTGCTCACATGAGTAAAGACTACTCCTGTGAGACAGGGATCAGGGCTGACTGCACTAGTTGTCCAAGAGCAAACACACTAATCGTTAAATGTTACCTAATCCCGGCTAAATCTTTAACAGGCCTCAGGCCAGAGGCAGATTTACCATGAAACGACCAGTGCGGTGGCACGGGGCCCCCACTGACAAGGGGAACGTCCTCCCAAAATGCAGGACAAATCTCATCTGACAGCCTGCCCCCGAGTCCCAGCCAGCGGCGCAGCAGGGCTCAGGCAGGCTGCCTGCATTCCGTGCCGTGGCCCCACGCGCTCCCGGAAGCGGCCGGCTGCTGGCACGTCTCTGTGTGCCCCTGACGGGGAGAAGTGGCTCTGCGCCCTGCCGCCGGCCCAGGCAATGCACGGAGACCCACTGCCCCCTTCCCCCCCAAGGGGCGCGCAGAGACATGCCAGCAGCAGAGCTAAGGCGGCTCCCTGCCCACATTGCCTCCCTCCCTCCGTGCCACTCCCGGAAGCGGCCAGCATGTCCCTGCGGTCCCTGGGGGGGGGGGGGGAGGGTCTGCGCATTGCCCCCACCCCAAGCGTTGACTCCACAGCTCCCATTGGCCAGGAACTGTGGCCAATGGGAACTGCAGGGGCAGCGCCTGTGGGCAGTGACGCACAGAGACCCCCTGGCCCCCTGCCTAGGAGCCGCTGCCAGAGGGGTGTGTGTGCCACTTGCTTTGGGAGTCACACTGCCCGAGGGAAGTGCCACCCCCTGGCCCCTCCCACACCCCAACCCCCTGCTCCAGCCCAGAGCCCGCACCCAAATTCCCTCCCAGAGCCT